CCCCAAATTTGCGGTGTCTGTACACCTCATTGTCTCCCCTCAACAGCTGCTGCTGCTGCTGCTGCTGCTAATGCTGCAGCCGCTGCTGCTGCTGCTGCTGCTAATGCTGCAGCAGCAGCAGCAGCTGCTGCTGCTACTGCTAATGCTGCAGCAGCAGCTGCTGCTGCTGTGGCTAATGCTGCAGCAGCAGCTGCTGCTGCTGCTGCAGGAGCTAATGCTGCAGCAGCAGCAGCTGCTGCTGCTGCGGCTGCTGCTGCAGGAGCTAATGCTGCAGCGGCTGCTGCTGCTGCTGCTGGAGCGGGTGCTGCTGCTGCTGCTGCTGCAGCTTCTGCTCCTACTGCTACTGCTGCTGCTGTTGCTGCTGCTGCAACAGCAGTTACAGCAGCAGCTGCTGCAGCAGCTGCAGCAGCTGCAGCAGTTGCTGCAGCTGCTGTGGAGACAGCTAGTTGTTTTGTCTCTGTCTCTTTTTTTTATTTGTTTGTTTGTTTGTTTCTCTTTTTGTTTATGTCTCCTCAGCCTGCAGTAAACAAAAAAAAAATAAAAAAAACACAAGAGACTGCTTCTCAACCCTAAACCCTAAACCCTAAACCCTAAACCCTTGCTAAACCCTAAACCCTAAACCCTAAACCCTAAACCCTCGGGTATAATATTACTTTATTTTCAGAAGATATATTTTTTTGTTTTTGTTTAATTTCTGTCTTTGCTTGTATCTGCATGCCGACGCCTTGCTCCCTATACACCCCAAAGGAGACACATCAACTGTCTCCTTTTTTTCTGTCTCCTTTTTTTTTTTTCTCTCTCTCTCTGTCTTTCTTTCTGTCTCCTTCTCTGTCTCTCTGTCTCTTTCTTTCTGTCTCCCTCTCCTTCTCTGTCTCCTTTATTTGTGTTTTTTTCTCTCTATCTCTTTTTGTCTGTCTCTCTGTCTCTTTCTCTGTCTCTTTATCTCTCTGTCTCTCTTTCTGTCTCCTTCTTTCTCTTTTTCTTTGTCTCTGTCTCTGTCTCTATCTTTCTGTCTCTATCTATCTATCTCTCTATATCTTTCTCTCTTTTTCTTTTTCTCTCTGTCTCTTTCTCTCTTTCTCTTTGTCTCCTTTCTGTCTCCTTTTTTGTCTCCCTCATCCCTCTCTCCCTCTGTCTCTCTAACCCTAAACCCTAAACCCTAAACCCTAAACCCTAAACCCTAAACCCTTACATAGCAAACACTTCTCCATCGTCCTGTGCTCCTGTAGTTGCTTTATACATATTTGTGTAGAGCATCTTGGCGTCATACTTGGGGTCTGAAACACACAAAACCCTAAACCCTAAACCCTAAACCCTAAACCCTAAACCCTAAACCCCAAACCCTAAACCCTAGACCCTAAACCCTAAACCCTNCCCTAAACCCTAAACCCTAAACCCTAAACCCCAAACCCTAAACCCTAGACCCTAAACCCTAAACCCTAAAAAGCAGCTCAGAGCTCACCCTTCTCCCGGAGGTCCTGCAGCTGTGAGAGACCTGCAAACGATACAACCACAACAAACCACCAAAAGCCTAAACCCTAAACCCTAAATCCTAAACCCTAAACCCCAAACCCTAAACCCTAAACCCTAGAGTGCTGCTCACGGTCTCCGCGGGTCTGCACACACAAACACAGAAGCAGCAAACACACAAACTAAGAAACCCCTGTCTCCTTTTGTCTCCTTTTGTCTCCTTTTGTCTCCTTTTCTCTCTTTATCTCTCTCTTTATATCTCTTTCTGTCTCCTTCTGTCTCTTTCTATCTATCTCTGTCTCTGTCTCTGTCTCTATCCTCTCTCTATCTATCTGTCTCTATCTCCTTTTCTGTCTCTTTTTCTGTCTCCTTTTGTCTCCCTCTCTGTCTCTCTTTGTCTCTTTCCATCTATCTGTCTCCTTTCTGTCTCCTCTTCTGTCCCCTTTTCTGTCTCTTTTTGTCTCCTCTTCTGTCTCCTTTTGTCTCCTTTTCTGTCTCCTTTTGTCTCCTTTTGTTTTTTTTTTGTTTACTTCTCTTTGTATGGTGTAGTCTGCTCTCTCAGGTGCGGCTTTATGGCTGCAGAGACGCATCAACACAACCCTAAACCCTAAACCCTAAACCCTAAACCCTAAACCCTAAACCCTAAACCCTGAAACCCTAAACCCTTGCCACAAACGCTACGCCATCAAACCTGCACAGTATTCTACAAAACAAAACCCTAAACCCTAAACCCTAAAACCCTAAAACCCTAAACCCTAAACCCTAAAACCCTAAACCCTAAACCCTAAAACCCTAAACCCTAAACCCTAAACCCTTTTTGCTTACAGGGTCTTCGACTGGAATAGCCAGGCAGTAATCTTTCCCTGCTTCATCTGCATGCAACACCCAAACCCTAAACCCTAAACCCTAAACCCTAAACCCTAATTTATACTCTTAGCTGCACGTACACCCCACAGATGCCTGCGGGGTGTACTGATGCTGCTGCCTCTACT